ATGTAAACTCGTGAAGCCGTAACATCGGGGAAAATAAGGATAACTATAGTCGGAGAAAGAGTATCGCCTAACTAAGGCCCAAACTATCAGACTCAAGTCTGCTACACCTGTCTACAGGGATCTAAGCCGGTCGAGCGACGTCGGGGCAAAACTAAGACTTATTGGATCCGAATCATGTATTTCTAAGGCAAGCCCTAGTCAAACCTAAACTAAGGCCCAACATGCTTCAAATAAACAGTAATTAAGAATGCAAGCACTTCACATAGCGAGGAGGGTCAATTAATAACACAAAGCATGCTCACAGTTACCCGATAATTCCCGAAATGGGCCGAAAACATGATTTCTTAACACCTATGCAAGATTCAATAACTACCCAACCCAAATCCCAACTAATCAACATACATTCACATTCTCGAGCTCAATCTAAGAGAGGAAAACCATAGCCTACCTGTAGGCCGATCACACGCGCTCCAAAATCACTATTTCGGAGCCTTCCCTTTCCGAACGGTCTCGAAATGCTTCCCCGCTATCAAAAATAGAGTCACAACGTTAATACGGTCGTTTGGACACCAAAATCACAATAAATGGAGACGGGTCAATTTTGGAGTCAAAACGAGAATCGTGGGACCCGCGCAGGAAATTCCAAAATTAACCCCAAAAGTGGGTCCTAACCAGTTCCCCCAGCTCATGTCTCAAAATGGGACACAATTCGGGGCTCGGGAACAACACAATATCAACATGCAACTAAAACCCAAATTTTCTCAAAAACTAGAAATGGGACAGCAGTTGAATCAGTGTATTTACCAAAAACGGACGATCTACAGTAAAATCTAACAACACCACAATGTTCTCCTCGAAAAACCACTTAAGATAGCCTCAAAAATCACAGAAATTGGAACTAAAATGGCTGAGAAAACAAGTCTAAAAAATTTCCAAAATCAAGCTCACAAAAAGAGTGTGGCAGCAGGTATTTTTCAAAAATTACCTCAAACGGGGACTCCAAATCACTATCCGAGCTCACCAACACGTTGTCCTCGAAAAATCTCACAACTTTGCCTTTTTGAATCGCCCAAATCGGTTGAGAGATGAGAGAGTTATGAGGGTTTGAAGTTTTGGAAATGTTGCTGGTATATCTCCAATAAATAGCAGATTGCTGCAATTTTTTTCCAAAATTCTAAAACTCCGACGGAGTGCTCCGAACTCGTTCGGAACCCCAATACACGCAAACGAGATATGCAACCATACCAAATTCGACATTCCAGACTCAACGGCGCAATCAAAATTTCCATCAGAGGTCATTTCGATAAAAAGTGGGTCCCACTTCCAAAAGCCATATTAAGTCAAAACCCACAAAATGGCTCGAAAAGATATCGAAAACCTCCAAACACAAAAGAAGGGTCAATCTATACAAAACTCGACATTCCGGAGCTAACCATGCTGACGGAATTCTCATCCGAGCGTGTTTACTCAGAATGTTGACCAAAGTCAAACTTAGGCTTAAACTTAAAGTTAAAATGCCTAATCGCACCAACTCACACTGAAAACCTCGGGAGTCATGTCGACCATGCTACTAGCCTAAAATGACTCTTCCAGAGCTGATGGAATCGTGAGAATTGAATTCCGATGTCATCTTCTTGAACTTTTGATCGAAAATGATCGTTCAAGGTTCATAAGCTCCAAAACACAAAAACTCGCACCAAGACCAAACGAACGACCAGGTGACCGAACTGTCAGTCCCAACAAGTCATAAATGACTTGGGGTCGCTATAGGAACGCTCTAAACGACACACAAAAGGCAAGACACAGAAATGACCAAGAGGGTCATTACATGATTCACTCTCTTTTTACCGGCTAGCTCGGGGTCGAAGTTCAACTTTTTAATTGCCCAATAGGCTTGATGCTCCAATTCCACCGGAAGGTGGCATGCTTTCCCAAATACTATGTGATATGGAGAAGTCCCTATTGGTGTCTTGTACGCAGTCATATATGCCCATAACACATCATCTAGTTTATCATACCAATATTTCCTTTGTGCATTCACCGATTTTTGCAAAATTTGCTTCACCTCTCTATTTGAAACTTCCACTTGACCATTTGTTTGAGGATGGTAAGCTGTAGCAACCTTATGACGAATACCATACTTAACAACAAGATTCTTTACAAGATGGTTAATGAAATGCTTACCTCCATCACTTATAATTGCCCTTGGAGTGCCAAAGCGAGTGAAGATGTGCTTCTTGATGAACTTTATCACCACCCTTGCATCATTGGAAGGAAGAGCTACAACCTTCACCCATTTACTCACATAATCCACTGCCACAAGAATGTATTGGTTTCCACTAGATGGTGGGAAGGGACCCATGAAGTCAATACCCCACACATCAAAGATTTCCACCTCCAAAATGTTACTGAGTGGCATCTCATGTCGTCTTGAAATAGTACCCAAACTTTGGCATTTATCACACCCCTTCACAAAAGCAACATAATCCTTAAATAGCGAGGGCCAAAAGAAACCAGATTGTAGTACCTTATGAGCAGTGCGTTCTCCTCCATGATGACCTCCATATGGGCTAGCATGACAACTTTTCAGCACTTTGTGAACCTCATAATTCGGGATGCACCTTCTCACTACCCTGTCTACCCCTTGTTTGAACAGGAATGGTTCATTCCAAATGTAGAACTTAGCATCATGGTTAAGCTTTTTCTTTTGTTGAGTGGTAGCACCCGGAGGATAATCACCACTTACTATCACATTCACTATGTCCGCATACCATGGCACTTGAGAGATATCCAATGCCATTAATCGTTCATCCAGAAACTCTTCCCAGATTTGCTCACCTTCATTCACATGTGAAAAATCTTCCAACGTAGATAAGTGATCTGCTATTTGATTTTCCGTACCCTTCCTATCCTTGATTTCGAGGTCAAATTCTTGGAGAAGTAGTATCCATCGAATCAACCTTGGTTTAGCATCCTTCTTGTTGAATAGGTACCTAATAGCTACATGGTCAGTAAAAACAATCACTTTAGTGCCTACCAACTACGATTTGAACTTGTCGAAGGCGAACACTAGAGCCAGCATCTCCTTCTCAGTCACTGTGTAATTAGCTTGTGCAGAATCAAGGGTCTTGCTTGCATAATAGATTGAGTGGAACACTTTATTTTTTATTTGTCCCAACATTGCACCCACTGCTACATCGCTCGCATCACACATGAGTTCAAAAGGTAGTTCCCAATTAAGGGCAATTAAAATGGGAGCCTCAATTAAATTCCTCTTCAGCATCTCAAAAGCTTTTAAGCACATCTCATTAAAGTCAAACTTCACCGCTTTCTCCAGAAGGCTGCACATGGGTCTTGCTATCTTGGAAAAATCCTTGATAAATCGCCTGTAAAAACCTGCATGACCAAGAAAACTACGCACACCTTTTACATAAATGGGAGGGGGCAGTTTCTCAATAACTTCTACCTTAGCCTTATCAACTTCCAAACCAGATTTAGATACCTTATGTCCCAACACTATCCCCTCTCTTACCAAAAAATGACACTTTTCCCAGTTTAGAACTAAGTTAGTGTCTTCACATCTAGCAAGCACTTTATCAAGATTTCGGAGACATACCTCAAAAGACTTCCCAAAGACGGAGAAATCATCCATGAACACTTCGACGAAGTCTTCCACCATATCATGAAAAATGGCCATCATACACCTTTGAAAAGTCGCCGGTGCATTGCAAAGTCCGAATGGCATGCGTTTGAAAGCATATGTACCATACAGACAAGTGAATGTGGTCTTCTCCTGATCTTCTGGTGCAATTAGGATCTGGTTGTAACCTGAATAGCCATCTAGGAAACAATAGTACTCCTGCCCTGTTAACCTGTCAAGCATTTGATCAATAAAGGGAACGGGGTAGTGATCTTTCCGAGTAGCAGCATTAAGTTTCCGGTAATCCATACAAATTCGCCACCCTGTCACTGTTCTAGTAGGAATTAGCTCATTCTTTTCGTTCCTTACCACAGTTATACCTCCCTTCTTGGGAACACATTGCACGGGACTTACCCATTTTCTATCAAAGATTGGGTAAACAACCCCAGCATCTAGCCACTTGATCACTTCCTTTCGTACTACTTCCTTCATCAAAGGATTTAGACGACGTTGATGTTGTGCACTTGGTGTGTGATCATCTTCCATGTAAATTCTGTGCATACATAATGCTGGACTAATCCCATGAATATCAGCCATGTGCCATCCAATTGATTTCTTCCTCCGCTTCAAGATTCTTAATGCTGCCTCAACCTGTAAATCAAACAATTCTGCAGAAAGTATAACGGGCAGAGTTTCATTAGTACCCAAATAAGCATACCTTAGGTGAGCTGGCAAGGCTTTTAGCTCCAACTTAGGAGCCTCTTCAATTGATGGTTTTGGATGGGGTCCTAGCTCGCGATTTAAAGACTCCACTTGAATCCTACGAGTTTATACTATTGGTAGATTTAAGCATGATTCAGTCTCTTGAACTTCCGCATCCCTCTCTAACTGTTGACCCACTAACACTCTTTCTAATGGGTTTTCGGGCAAAACTAACTGTGACTCTATTATACTATCAATCACAGTAATAACAGACAGCTCTTCATAAATAGAAGGTAATTTTAAAGCGCGATAAACATCAAATACCTCCACCTTATCATGTGCTCTCATGGTTAGTTGACCAGCTGTTACATCAATCAATGCCCTACCCGTAGCCAAGAAAGGTCGTCCCAAGATAAATGGGACTTCATAATCGGGTTCAAAGTCTAAGACCACAAAATCTACTGGAAAAATCAATGAATCTACTTGCACTAACACATCTTCCACCACCCCTTCTGGCCTAGCAATGGATCTATCTGCAAGTTGGAGAATAACAGTGGTTCGCTTTGGACTACCTAACCCAAGCTTTTGGTACAAAGATAGAGACATTAAGTTTATACTTGCCCCCAAATCACACAACCCCCGGGCGTGAACACTTTGGCCAATTGTAATCTGCACAGTACAACTACCCGGATCTTTTAACTTTGTGGGCAATCTATTTTGAATCCTTGAGCTGCACTCCTCAGTAAGTGCTACAGTTTCATATTCAGTGAGTCTTCTCTTGTTGGCCACTATGTCCTTCATGTATTTAGCATACTTCAGGATACCCTGCAAAATGTCAACCAAATGTAGATTAATGTGAACCTGTTTAAGGAGAGAGAGAAACTTACCGAAACATTCATCTTCATTCAACTTTTTAAGCCTTTGTGGAAATGGAGGTGATAATTTCTTTTGAGGAATGGGTACCTCAACATTGGAGCTTTTTACTACCTCTTCCACATTCTATTCTTTGTTACTTGCCTCAGTGTCTCTTTTCTTTGGAGCTAGTTCCTCTAATTGCAACCCACTTCTAGTGCTTACCGCATGCAATTGCTTTGGATTGGGCTCAGTATCGCCGGGCAGCCCACCTTGGGGACGCAAGTTCAAAGAATTAGCCACTTGTGCAACTTGTTTCTCTAAACTCATTTGGGACATCCGGATGTTTCTAATGTTCTCATCCTGGTTATCTATTCTAGCATTTAATTTGGTCCCTATTTCAGTCATGAGCTTTTAGAGTAGCTCTTCATTAGTCATCCCCCCTTTAGGTGCACTAGCATTTGAGCCTTGGTTAGAATTGTAGTATTATTGCCCAGCCCCTTGAGAACGGTATTGGTTAATCCCTTGCGTCTGATTTTGATTTTGGTTCCCACCCCATGAGAAGTTAGGATGGTTTTTCCAACTAGGGTTGTAAGTGTTACCATAATTCTGTTGCACTCCACTCCTTTGCGCATTACCCATATAGTTTACGGAATTCGGGTTTGCTTCACATTGCTCTGTTTCATGAGTTCCACTACCGCATACCTCACACCAATTTGCTGCTTGTTGTACTACATTTACCGGGGCCTGATTTAGAGCTATTTGTTTGAATTGTAATGTAATGTTATGTTGCATTGCATCTAGTTTAGCATTTATGGCAGTAGCTTGATCTACATCTAAGATCCCTGCAGCCTTTTGGGTTGGAATTCTAGTCATTTCACCCTTATACCCTTGGTTCCCTTCAGAAAGTTTATCGAGTAAGGCGAAAAATTCTTCACTTGTTATGGCTAGGGATTGTCCACCTGCTGCACTATTAAGAAGAGAACGAGCATTATAGTCTAAACCTTCAAAAAAAGTATGACAAAATACCTCATTGGTTTGCATGTGGTGTGGGCAAGCATTCAACATTTGTTTGAAACGTGCCCATGCTTGGTACATGTCCTCTCCTTGTTTTTGAGCAAAGTTTATTATCTCACTCCTCAGCTTGGCGGTTTTCTTGGAGGGAAAAAATCGACTCAAGAACTTCTTTGCTAGATCATCCCAAGTAGTGATGGAGTTTGGTGGCTCAGAGTCTAACCAACGCCTTGCAGCTCCTAACAATGAGTATGGGAACAAAGTCAACCTTACATAGTCTTATGAGACTCCAATTGGGATGTATGTATTGGTAATGTCTATGAAAGTCCGAAGATGGACTTGAGGATCCTCATGGGGGAGACCAGTGAATTGTCCATTAGTATGAAGGATATGCACCATGTTCTGCTTCAGTTCAAATCTACCCCCCGGTGGAGGTTTCCTGATACTGGATGCTAAGTTGGCGGTGAGTGGGACTGCCACATCACAGACTGGTCATGCGGGAACAACAGGAGGTCCTTCTTGATTATTTGGGTTCCTTGGGTTATTCACGTTTTCGGGTTATTCACATTTTCTTGATTATCATCATCAAAGTTTCCCGGAATACCAACCCCAATTCGCCTTGTCGTCCCTGGTTCATTTTTCTGCGTTGGTGTAAAACTCTTTCTGGTTCGTTGTAAGGTTCAACGAGATTTCCTCTCTGAGTCAGACCTGAAAATCAAGTACTTGCAATACACAAGCTAAGATCAAGTAATTAATATCTGAATAGACTGAGTGTAGACTTAAGAAGATTGAATATAAATCAATTTCTAAGTCCCCGGCAGCGGCGCCAAAAACTTGTCACTCCCAAAATACACGCAAGTGTACGTGGTCGTATAAGTAGTATAGATTATTCAAGAAACGAGTTATTTTTCCCAAGGGACTTATGATCAACTTATATTCACTCAATTCTACAGCTAAGAGTAACCCAGTAACCTTTTTTAAGAGTTGTGATTTAGTTTAGTATCTACTAATAATTATGCACTAATTGAAAGTAACTAATTGTGAACAACTTTGATATAATATGATTCAAGCATGTTTAAAAACGATTCCAGGGCAGCAGCATACAATGAATATCATGTATCATATCAATGGCTTAGAATTCACTTCAGTTGTCAAATTACTGGTTTATAGGGTTAATGGTATGGTCCGGGTGGTTCGCCGCTCGCCGCCTACCCCAGTTAGCTATCTAACTACATCGTTGAGCGGGGATAAATAAACTAACTGGCGAGCATGTATATTTCATCCTATTTCGTAACCAAGCAAGGTGTTCGTTTGGGTGTCACTCCTGAACACTAATCACCTCAATTTAATGGGTGGACCGAGCTCTCTATATTCTCTGGTCTATCTAATACCTCCTCTTTCGATTTTAAGATTAGACTCTAGATTTATTTTATGGTGTGCAAGCATAAAATAGTAAAACAAGAATATAGAAGTAATTTGGATTGACAACCGAAAATCAATTCATAAAGCCTCAAACATTCAACACATAATTCATAGCTACAGCCCCAGAACTAAGGCGTTTAGCTACTCATGCTATTAGAAAACAAGAAAATACTATAGTTCATGCAATTTCCAAAAAATAGAAGAGTTAAAGGATCAAAACCTATTACAAACTTGGATTCTTGCCCTTGCACACTAAATCAAAAGTCTCCCCCTTTTTGAAGCCCTAAGGATCTATTTATACTAGTAGGATAAGTTGGTAACCAATCCTACTCAAAAGAGAAATCCTATCTTATGTTAAAAACTTGTTAAAGTCAGAAAACATGTGTCGTGTCGCGCCCCTTATCGCGCCAAAACATATCTTCCCTCATTTAGCTCTTGGCGCGCCGCGCCATCCACTGGGGATTGTTGCCTTAACCATTTTCCTACATCTCCTTGCTCCTTCTTCCATCTTCCCAATTCATATTCCATCAATATTTCCTGAAACAACTAATCACGTGTGTAAGTATGCAATCATCATAAATTAAACTAGAATTCAAGCTAATAAATCAAGATTGTCATCAAACATCATCACTTCGTGGGCCAATTCCGACTAATTAGGTATATAAATATGCCTAAGATCACTAAGCTCATGGAAGCAATCACCGCTGCAAAGTATACAAATATGGTAGTTGTTGGGGAAAAGCACAATGATTGTGAGCTTCTTGATGACTTGGGACTGTTTGCAATGGACGAGGGACCTATCAAATATTTCAGCATTAGTACAACAAGCTTGTTCGACAACAATCTTCGGTCGTCTTCTGTCATTGGTTGTGGCCACAAGGTAACAAGATCGTTAATTGTAGATCCCGATTTTAGTTGGACTGTTATTTTTAAGGAATTTGTATTTAAGGGATGTAGAATAAATAGTGGATAACACATCTCCTTTCTTTACTAGTATTTATTTGCTTGTAGATGATATTCCCACATCTGGTTCTACCATTGGCTAGAATGCTAGACTGGCATGGTTGACGGTTGGAATGGTTGTTTATTCAGTACACTGACACAAATCGTAGGATAGCAAACTAGTGCACAATGGGAAAAACTCTGAAATGTTAGAGTTAATGGCAGATTCTGAGTCCGAGCACAACAACATCCATAGAGACTTTTATATTCTTACTTATATACTTACACCGAATGCTTCGAACAACAATTTACATTTACTTGATGTACATACATGCCCGGTGCTAGCGCTCAACAACTCTAAATGTGGAGGTCAATTTGGAGGAGAACTTCTTTGTACATTTCGTCATCTTCTTAACAAATATAAAGTTTTTGATTTGGGAGACGAAGCTCCTGATAGTGTTTTACGTAGACTGTATTTGAATATATAAAGGCTTAAGGGTAATAGTGGTCGATTTTCTGCCGAAACTGAAGAGAGAATGAGAATTATTGTTGCAAGTGAAGATGGAACAACTGGTTGGCTTCTCGGAGTTGTATGCGATCTCACACTATCTCAACAACCTCCAATTGCAACAGTACCTTTGAAAACTGCAAAAGAAAACTTGTTTCTAGAAAATTGGTTTCCGATAACTGATGTGGTGGGATTACATCTTAATTTCAATCTTGATAGTGGAATATGTTGCAGAGACATCCGCCACTTTAGATGTGTTATGATTCTGGTTAAGGTTGGACAAGTTATTACAGAGGAAATAGGAGTAATGCCAATTTCCTTACTACTCTTGGAAGACAACATAAAGTTGCACTTTGCATCAGATCATTTTCTTTGGCTTTTATTGCTAGATGGAGTAGTTTTGTCCAACTTTACACTTGAGACATTGCAGCAAGTGGAAATTGCTACTCTTTAGATAATTGATAAAGTTGTGGATAGATTTCATGACTTAAACCTTGAGGACAAGGTTCTTAATTGGGATGGGGGTATTGTTATGAACCAAGTCCAGCCCAATGTAGATACTAATGTCATACAAGTTGTTATTGGGCTGACAAGAGTTATTGGGCTGAGAACGAGCAATAGGGCCAGGTTAATTTGGGATCCGAGTTGAGTAGTGGGCATGAAACATTCCATCGAAAAGGGTAGTGATATGTGATTTAGGGATTATGCAAATTGTTGAGAAAAATGTCTAGTCTTCTCATCTCCTTTCTTTGAGTCTATGCTTCTCATCTCCTCTAGTTATCTTGTACAATAGTTTTCTTTGTTAGTTCCATTTTTTCGTTGTAACTTCGAGTTTAGTGATTATAATATTTGAATGTTTCTATTGTGAAATTGGAGTTGTTACAATAGCCTACTGGTCAATAGAGTGGGTTGAGAACCACGAGGTTTGAGGTTCAAATCAAGACAAAAACACTTGTTGATTTCTTCTCATCTGTCTTGGTGGTTAGAGTTACCTGGTAACTTTTAATTAGCTGGTAAGGGTGGTAGTTATCCATGTGTAATTAGTCAAGGTGCACAAAAGAAAGTCCGGACATCACAATTATCAAAACAAACAAAAAACCAAGTTTTTGAGAGGATTAATCATTTGGAACCGAATGAAACCAAACTTTATAATAGTGTTTTTCCTTGTCGGTCTGCAATTCCACCGAAGTAATGTAATTTTTGGACTATCTCTTAAGTCTATAGCTTCTTTGTCTCAATTTACTTGGTTGGAATCCATTATTTTTCCTATTGCCATACAATCCTTACACCTCGTCGGATCTGGACCAAAGTTATGATCATCACCAAACTCCGTTGGTTCATACCATTCCCATTGAAGAAGAAGCAGATGAAGTTTCATTTCAGTTCTACATCTGCTTCTTCTTCAATGAGAATGATTTGAATCACTGGTGTTTGGTTATCAGCCTAATTAAAGTCTACATTCAATGAGTTGTAAAGAAAATATCGCAATAGGAGAAACAAGGGACTACAACCAAGTAAATTG